CTAATATATCGACTATATTCGGAAGTGGAAATGAATCTCCTATAGTAATATCATTTAGTCGTCGATAGTCTATAACAATTCGCCATTTCTTCTTTGCTGAAGCATCGGCCTTTTTTGGCACAACCCAAAGGGGCGAATTCCATGGCGAAGTTGATTCTTCGATAATACCTTGATCTAGCATACCTTTTATTTGAGTTTCGACTTCATGTTTGTGTACTTCAGGATACCTGTATGATTTAGTGCTAATAGGTACATTAGAATTTAAAGGAATTTTGCAAGTTATGGCATTTGTACTGGTAAGTTGATCTCCTTCCAGATAAAAGATATGATTGTACTCCTTGCAAATAGAAATTAAAGATGATTTTTCTTCACTATTTAAATGATCTGTTCTCAAGGCATTTTTTAATTTAGCAATTCTGTTAGAATTCGTATTATCTTTATAAGAAGACATTTTTCGTATATTTGCATTGTTTTGTAAATTTGGAATTTTTTCTATTGCTACTTGAATATCGTTTAATTCAACATCCGTTTCAGTAGTGTTTACGATTGAGGTTAAAAAGAAATCATTTTTTACTTTAACAACACTAGGACATAAAAATACACCTTTAAAGATTTCGCGTTCGGGACATAATCCTTCGCTTAATTCATTATTTATTACTTTAATTTGAACAATTGTTTCAGTTCTTGCGGATAGAATAGTTTTATTACTTCTTGAGTTAGAATTAGAGTTTTGATTTAGTATAAGATCGTCTGAACAGGATTTTTCTTCTGAACAAGATTTTGATTTATGATTTCGTGAAGAGTTACAAGTTTTATTTGTGCATATCTCAGTGGATTTTACACATTTTGGACTTGAATTTTCTTTGGATTTAGAGTTAGATTTAGATTGAATTGGATTGGATAGTAGTTCTTCACTACTTAAGGTTATTTGGATATCATTGGTTTCTAAATAAGAATGATCCTCTATGGATTTAGCATCATAAGGAAATATTTCATCGATATTAGAACTTGTCTCGATATTTTGATCTCTCAGAAATTCGTCATTGTCATTGTTTAATGGAAATTTTATATATTCAATTGGAATAGAACAATTTTTAAAGTTTAATTTATTTTCTTTATAATCAATTTGGCATTTATTTATTTCAAAAAAATCGCTACCTAATATACCGTCGAAATGAAGAGGAAAATCGTCTTCTACGACATAGAAAACATGAGTTTGGACAAAATCTTTTATCTTGAAATTTACGTTACAACTACATATAGTTTTATTTGGATTTAAGACATTTTTATCAATGCCTCGTAGAGTAATAGACTTAGAATAAATTTTTGGAATGTTTAGTATTTTTGAATATTTAATTAAAGAAATATCTGCGCCTGTATCGATTAGAAACTTGCAAGAGGATGGATTAGAATTATTTACTAAGGGTAAATCTACATAGGAAGTGACTGAGAAGTTGATGGTTGTGATACGGCCTGAACTGAACGAACTCCTCGAGAATCGACCGTTGGTTGTCGAGGATTCTGGAAGTTTAAAGAATTTGTTGGATTTTTGTTTTTATTGTTAAATTCGCGTTTTCTACATTCTTCTATAACGTGACCTGGTTTTTTGCAGTATCTGCAAAAACGTTGGGAAGTGTTGGTATTTTCTTTTCTTAAGTTTGGAGGAAAATCAGAATTGGAATTTGAATTTGAAGGTTTATAATTTTGATTTTGAGAATTTGACCTTTGAAGATTTGAATTAGGATATTTTGGGTTTTGAAAACTAGAATTTTGAAGATGTCTAACATTTCTATCTGAATTGTTTTTATATCGACAGTTATTTGAGGAATGGTTATTTCGTTTGCAAATATTACAGAATGGTCTGAAAATTTCTTGTCTTGATAACTGTTCTTGTTCTTCGGCAATTGCTATAGCAACAGCTCTTTCTAAGGAATCTGGATTTCGGGCTTTGATTAAAATAGAGAGGTCTTTGTTTAATCCTCTAATAAAGACATTTAGTGCTTGAGTTTTTAAGAGTTTAGTACATGCATTTCTTGCATCTGGAGATAAGTCTGGATCAAGTGTATTTATTAATTTTATATAGCAATTTTCAACTTTATTTGCAAATGACATTACATTTTCACTGGGCATCTGACGTAAGGAATGTAATTCCAATTGCCACTGACCTTCAGTTCGGCGTTCAGAATAAGCATCTAATAAGAAGTCTTTTAAATCTTTCCATTCGTCAAATGTTCTGTTTCTAGTTATGGCCCTAGCTTTATCGGTTAATTTAGTTTCTATAATGGCTAATAAGATGGGTTTGGATTGCGGATTTACTAAATTGTATGCTTTATCACAATTGTCTATGAATTCGTATAATTTTGATTTTGTACCATCAAATCTAATGAGAAGTTTTTCAGCTATTTCAATTGATACTGACATTTTATTTGAATTAGAAGTAGAAGAATTTGAAAGAGAATTTGAGTCGGGAGAAGGTATTTGTTCGTCAAATAAGTTACTTATATCAGGATATAAAGTAGACATACGTTTACAAGATTTTTAAAATATGAGACAGAATTTAAGATAGAATGTACTTACAAGTAGAATATTGTTGTTGGTCGCATAGTCTATTATTCCACGGGTTCACCTCTACTTCCGATGGAACTACAATTGGGTTATGACTGGAACTGGATTTCGAACTGGATGTACTGGACCCCAATGTAATTAGTTGTAGTGGCGATTTTTCCACACTGACAGTTTTTTTTGAATGATTCCTCGAAGGAAACAAGTCAATTCAAAAATTCCTCAGCTCTCCTTCTATCAGCAATCAGAGGAACTCTGCTACTAATATCCCACACTTCTGACACCAAATTTTGTTATGGAATACTATGCGTTTATTTCTTCTCCGGACTAACTCTTTGTTTTGGAATTAAACAGAATATATTGACATGTATAAATTTATTATATTAGAGGATGAAAATTACACTCTGCCTGTTATTTCTTAAAACTATGAATTTATAAGTTCTGTTATCTACAATTATTTAACGATGTTTCTGGATGGATTTGAGTACAAGAGATTGGACTCAAATATTAATATTAAAATAGCAAATACGGATAGCTTATCGAACAAAGAAATAAGAGAAATAAATTATTATTATTCCATAGATACGAAGTATTAGGCGAATAAACTAGCGAAACTTATTTATTCTAAATAGGAAAATATTTATGAAGAGTATTGATTCTGATTTCTAACAGCAAATAATTATTAGTGATTATACATGAGAACTTTTCATAATTGTAAATAACATATACCAGGTGACTAAAAACTATATAGAAATACATAGATACTTTAATTATCTTACAGGTGAGTAGGTAGGTACATTACATATGGTTCGATTTCTTGTTGAGTTTGGGAACGTGTCTCGGGCATTTTTCGAGATATTTTGAAACGAAAATGAAAAATAGAAGTATGAAGAAGTATAAAATATATCAGTATATAAGGGAGAAAATAAAAATGTGGTGGTATATATAAAGGACAAAAATGTATCAATTTAAAATATTAAATAATATATCAATAAAAATGTATCAAATATATCAAGTAAAAATGTATCAAATATGTCAAAAAAAATATATCAAAAGAAAATATACCAAAAATATAGCAAGTAAAAAAAATATGTGAATAAAATATCAGTAATTATAAAATAGTATAAAAGAAATATGTCAATATCAATAATTTCAAATATTAGATAATCAACTTGTATTATTTTTTTTGTATCTTGATTAATTGACTTGCAGTATAGTCAATTTCGTAAATTATTAAAACAAAATTATTAACGAGATGATTCAAAATCCACTTACATAAAGAAGAACATCGGGACGCCTTGTTCTCTCTGCTCAGCTACCAGGGGCTTCACTAGGTGTTCCTTCCGTAGATTACAGGAGTGAGGTTGTTCTGAGATGTCTTCTTCTTTAAGGGTCGTCTTGTTCTCTCTGCTCGGCTACCAGGGGCTTCACTAGGTGTTCCTTCCGTAGATCACAGGAGTGAGGACTTCCGTAGATTCTTTGTTCCGTTAAGGGATGAGAATCCGCCGCTGCCAGTGAGTATACACGTGTTCTAGCAACGTTTTTCGGATCCTACTGACTTTGCGCCAATTGTTAGATCACTAATCACGAGTTTGACTTTTTAAAAAAGAACTTTATTTGTTACAAATTAAATATTAAATAATAGTACAAAATTAAATTAATTTAAAATGACTACAATAACTGGACTGGTCGAAGTTGCAGCTAAGAGTGGTCCCGGCATCTGAGAATGGTAATTTATAGGTTTGGTATGAAGTGCTGAATCGCTGTTCCCATGAATATTGGCCAACGGTTCGTACAAAGTTCTACTGCGTGCTCAGCTGTTTCTATGGGAATGAAATGATGAAATCTGAAGTCGGCGAACTTAAGCTAGTTCAAGGTTAATATTTTCTCATATAACATATATATATATATATATATATATATATATATATATATATATATACACATATATTATGAATTTATTTTTTTATTTTTGAAATATTTAAAAACCTCACGTTAATCTTATTAAATATAATTATGTAATATACGCAAAATGCTAAATTTTAAAATAAAATGAAAATTTACAACATAATCCGAGTTGTTGGTTTTTATTTTTATCTTCGTAAAGTAAGTTATGTATATACTTAGATAAACATAAAATTCTGCCAGAAAATCAGTCCGGTTTCAAAAAGGATCACAGCTGCACTAGTGCCCTTTGTTTGTTGTTTTTCCAGCAAGACCTAGTCATGACTACTCCACTAGAAATTCAAGCTTTGTTGTGAATTTACCGATCCCATTCACTGAGTTAGTAAAGAAATTTATATAATTTTAGTAAATTTTAATTGTTATTGTTATTATTACTTTTTTTAACTTTTATAAGCTTTGTCCATATGATTTTAAAATTTTCAGTAGCATACTTCAGCATACTTCTATAATAAGCTTCTTTCATTTACTTTTAGGTTGGAATTATTGGAGGTACAGGATTTGACGATCCAGACATCTTAAAAAATCGCAAAGAAAAAACTGTGTCAACACCTTTTGGAAACCCATCTGATTCGTTAATTTTGGGAGAAATCGACGGTGTTCCATGCGTGTTACTAGCTCGACATGGTCGAAAACACGATCTTATGCCCAGTGATGTAAATTATAGAGCCAATATTTGGGCCTTAAAAGAAGAAGGATGTACGCATATTATAGCCACTACAGCTGTAGGCTCGCTTCAAGAACATTATAAGCCTGGAGGTTTAGTTTTAGTGGATAGCTTTATCGACAGAACAACAAATCGTAAACAAACATTTTATGACGGCGAACCTGGACATCCTGTAGGAGTTAGCCACATTCCTATGGAACCTGCCTACTGCCAGAAAACTAGAGAATTGATTCTAGAAGTAGCTGAAAAACTTGGAATTTCCATAATGAAAACTGGTACTATCGTTACTATTGAAGGACCAAGATTTTCTACAAAAGCCGAGAGTAAAATGTACAGATCTTGGGGCGGCGATATCATAGGAATGACACAAGTTCCCGAAGTTGTTCTTGCGAAAGAAGCTGGTATTTGTTATGCAAATGTAGCCTTGGTGACTGACTATGACTGCTGGAGGGATTCTGGAGTTAAAGTATGTGTACCCGAAGTTATGAAGACGTTTAGGGAAAATATTTCTAAAGTTATTAAGCTAGTTTTATCCATTGTGCCTAAAATTGGCGAGACTGACTGGAATAAAACAATAACAGAGTTACAGGTACGTTTTTATTATTCTTCCTATTGGCATATTTTGAGTGTAAAAGCAATATATATATATATATATATATATATATATATATATATATATATATATATATATATATATAGTTTATATTTTTTATAAATATTTTAAAAATCAGACCACCGCATGGTATCTTCGTGTGACGTCGAAATATCATCACATTCTGAACTACTGTTTTTCTCACTATATCCTTAATATTTATGTTGTTTGTATGGGAGATTCATCCAATGGTCGTCATCACCTTTATTTATTTTTTTCTTTATACTTTGATGTGTAAGTTGTGTCTGTATAGCTTAGTATTGGAGCCATGATGGTTTTTATAAATATAGATATATATATATATATATATATATATATATATATATATATATATATATATATAAAAAATTCTTTTTCATAGTATAGTTGAACATATTTGCTTATTTCCTTAATTTTACCGCAGTTTCACCTGTGTATTGTGTATTTACATCTACCGGGACTTCTGATCTAGCTTATTTAATTTTTGTGCCATTGCATTAAATCCATAGATAAATAATATAGTATATGTCAAATCCTAAGGCCTGGTTGTTCGAACGCGAATCAAGAAATTGATTATACTCAAGTTCCCTTAACAACTTTTCAAAAAAAGACTAAAAATTAACTGTGTAGAACCAGTCGAACGGACCAACTTCTACGATTCTTAAAACGCAACAAAATGTCTGACAAAACGCAAAATAATAAAATACTTCAGTTAACATAACCTTAAAATGTGACGTATTTGATTTTAATTAAATATTTGAGTTTTGATTACCATTCGAACAACCCAGCAGTTGATTTAATTTTTGATTAGAGATAGAACAACTAACTCCTAGTATCGCAGGTCACCCCGTTCTCATCATGTGCTGGCTGCGTAGTAATTATTTACACAGACCTATTTAATTGATTAAATTGGTTAATTTATTGTCGTTTTCGACAAGTATAAAATTATTTTGTTTCGTTATGAATGTACTGTAAAAATTCCTGCCGGGCGTATATATTCTTCATCTCTAATTCCGTGTCCTATTGTATAAATTTTTAATTCGTCATCGTGGTTATGAATAAATTATTTTTGTAACTGAGTAGTTCTTTAATCAATAAATTTATTTGGATAATAGGACGTTAACAGATATTAACCTAGTTAAAGTTCACCTGGACCAAAGAAATAAGAAACCTTCGAGCTATAATTGACTACTTCATAATGAAAATCGAAACATCGATCAGAGTTACAGATGTCAGAGTTAAAAGGGGAGCGGAATGTAGTCCTGACCACAAATTACTGATAGCGAACATGCGATTCCCTTGAAAAACCACAAATCAATCAAAAAGAACAGTGGTAAATGAAACTCAAACGCAAGCCGAAACGAAGTACAAACTACACTTGCTAAGGGAAGAATCCGTGAAAGACTTGTACAGACGAAGATTAGACCAAAAACTGGAGGAGTTTAGTTTTGAGAACATAGACGAAACATATGAACATATAAAATCCTGCATAAAGGAAGAAGCAGCGGAAGCTTTAGGTTGCGAAGAGAGAAGAACAAATAAATATCGACAACGTCTATCAGAAAGCACGGAAGAATGTATTAAGTAGAAGAAACAGCTATATCATAAATGGTTAAGCTCAAAAGAACAAGTGGACCTAGAAAGATACAGAGAGAAGAACAGAGAGGTAAAAAGATTAATAACAAAAGATAAAAATGATAACTGGAAATCAACATGTATGAACGTCGAACAATAGATAGGACGTACAAAGGACTCAGAATCCCGGAAAGTAATAAATAGACTGAAAGAAAACACACAGGAAAACACATTTTACTTTCAGAAGCGAAAAACAATGGAATGATTACTACTAAGAACTCCTGACAGAAAAGCGAACAAAATTCATGGAAAAAGAACAACAACCAACAAATCCAAAGGAACAACTAAATTTATCATTGGAAGAAGTAAAGAAGAACATAAAACAAATAAAAAATAATAAGTCTGCAGGGCCCGGAGAGATAGTACCCGAGCTAATTAAATCCGGCTCTGAAAAATTGTTCCGTATGATACATACCATGTTTCAGAGAGCCTTGGGACACCGAACAATAACCTGAAGAATGGTCGACAGCCCATATTATCTCTATTTTCAAGAAAGGGGATAGAAGAAAATGTGAAAATTACAGAGTCTTAAGCATTTTACCATCTATAGGAAGATTATTTGGAAAATAATAAAGGAAAAAATAGAAAAACAAATCCAAAATAAAATAGAGGATGACCAGGCAGGATTTACAGCTGGGAAATCATGTCTTAACCACATCTACACTATACAACAGCTAATAGAGAAGAAGATGGCAAAGAACAGACCAGTCCATCTAGCCTTTATTGACCTAAAAAAGGCATACGATTCTGTGCCCAGACAACGACTTTGGGAAGCCATGCAACAAATAGGAGTAGAAGATAAGCTGATCCATGTAGTGAAGTCCACGTACACACATAATAATGTTACAGTCAAGGTAGGTAACAAGTTTGGAAAACCATTTAAAACCACGAAAGGTATCCTAAAGGGCTGCTCGACTTCACCTACTTTCTTTAAAATATTTCTTCAATACGCCCTAAAGCCATGGAAAAGGAAATGTGAGGGAATGGGTGTACCCATAAGGAACGACCATCTGTATACCCTCAGTTTCGCCGACGATCAGGCCATAATAGCACAAGACGAGGAAGATCTAAGTTATATGGTTCGAAAACTAGAAGAAGAATATAGTATAACTGGTCTGGAAATAAACATTAACAAAACAGAATATCTGAACACAACACAAGAACCAACAAAAAACCTGGAAGTGGATGACGGGCGTGAAATAAAGGGGACCAATAAATTTAAATACCTGGGGTTCATTATATCAAATAAAGGTACTACAGAAGAAAAAATTAAAAATCGAGTGGGTCAAACCAGAAACTTTATAAGACAACTGAATTCAATCCTATGGGACAGACACATAACAAAAAATAACAATAAAAGAATTTATAACACGATGATTCGCAGCATTCTAACATATGGAGCAGAAAATTGGGTCTTAACAAAAGCAGCAGAAACAAAATAAACGCCACAGAAATGGACTACTGGAGAAGAAGCTGCAGAGTTTCCAGAATGGACAAAATAACTAACGATGAAATCAAAAGACGAATGGAGATAAAGAAAGAGACCTTAAATTACATTGAAGAAAAAAGATTAACGTGGTACGGACATGTCAGACGAACAAACCCAAACCGATGGATAGCAAAAATAACAGAGTGGAGCCCCATAGGAAAACGCAAAAGAGGCAGACCAAGAAGATCTTTCAGACAGAGATAAGGTAGATGAAGCCATGGAAAGAAGAGGATTGGAAGACGGAGAATGGGAGGATCAAGAAGAATGGGGAAAATGGTTGAGAGAAGGGAGACAGCGACAGAAGTTTAGAAATATCTGATCAAACCATTTAACTTACTTTAATTGTAAATAAAATCTAACATTAAAAAATCTAAGGCTTACGTCTGTATCACTTTAAGTTTATAATATACAATAATTATTCTCTGTGGAATACTTGCACTCATATTGAAGTTATCTTCGTGTGACATGTGACATGACATTGGTTCTATTATGCAGATAGGCTTCTTTTACTCATACAAGATAGACGGCGCCACCTCTTCCGCTTGTCGAAATCCTGAAAGATCTTTGTATGTGAGAAGAGATAATGGGCATTTGATGATGATGAAAATAATTGTAAAAGAGAGATATATCTTCAAATTTACAGCGCATCTACAGGATAGCTACGCAAGTTAAGTTTGGCGGTGTAAACCATGTATGAAGGAAGATGGAGTGCAGACATGGACTGAGATTGTTAAGATCGAGAAATACGTCTCCAAAATTTGAGATATCTAGATTCTAGACGAAGATACTTTTAGGAGTGTGTAGTAGCTACCATAATATGTCAACGGATTCGATGCTACTGCGGACTCTGGTGCCACCGAGAGATCTTATAACTGACAAAAGGCCAAATAATTGGTGAAGAAAGGCAAGAGAGAGGAACCGAAAACGGAAGAATAGAGGGTAATGGATGAATGGCAAAGTAAATGCAGGGAAGAGAGAAGAAAAGGTGATTGAACTCCATATCTTATCACTAACGTCAAGACATGAATCCGCCATGAACACAGGGGGATAAAAAGTATCATATGAATAAGGTATTCACATTGCATTACCACAGAATAATGAACAATCAGAATGCCCACTCTCCATGGAAAATTAAGTACGCGCATCTCCTTCGCGCAGACGTTCCGCCATGTTTTAGAGGGAACCAGTGTTGTTTATGTGGTGTGTATAGAGAAAATTAACCCGGTTTAATTGACTTACGGCAATCATAGATATACTATACAATTATATTAACATTGTTAAATATAATAACATAAATATAATAGAATTAAACATAAATATAAACAATTACATAACCTCACAAATCATATGTCTGTGTTATGTGTTTCCTTCTAAAACATGGCGCGCGTGCTGAAAAACTCCAAAGGCGGCATCTGAGAGTGGACATTCTGATTGTTTATTATTCTGTGGCATTACTCTTTCGTCTTTTACCTGAAATGGATTGTCAAGCAGAAGACTGACGTATGTTTCACTGTCAAGCAGCTTATGAAAATACTGCCGGGTATATTCTATACGCGAGGGCTGGATGAAAGAACAACAAAAGTGTTAGATGGGTGTAACTGGGATAATAATAATGAAAATGATGGTGGTAATGAAAGAGAGAGAGAGAGAAACATACAGGGAGCGTAAGAACGCAACGAGAATATTGTTATAGAAGAGTAGAATAGGTTAGATTAGTAGAGTAGATGCAGTTAAAGCAGATGAAGGAGTACTATTACGATGCGGGATGGTTTTGAACATTTCTCTCCCGAGCGATGATAAATACTCTACAAAGATCGTAGTTACATTTAAATTCGAGCATAAATGGCAAACTCTTACAAAGTCAAATCTTTTTAGCATGTTAGCTAAGAAATGTTTATTATTGTCATATTTGGTATATTTTCCTCTCTCTTTACACATTTATGATTTTTTCCGTCCGTTTATAGAAGAAGGTGTACCAAAATGACATTTTGTCATTTTTACTTGTGTTCTTTTTATTTGAGACATTTTTGCAGATGCTATTCGAAATATTAAACTGAAAAAAATGTAGCACAATCCATTAAATACGTTTTATTCATATACTTAAACGAATGCATCTCATCTCTATAAAAAAAGTTGTGAAAGTTTTTTTTTAAAACCTTACATGTCATTCTACATTAATTAACATCTATCATGTAAAACAACATAGTCATGGGGTGTTAAATGACATAAATGCTCACAACAATTGGCAAAAATGGTAACAACATGAAAACATAAAATTATGGGTACCTAGGTAAATTAACAAAACAAGAAATCAGTCTTAGCAAAGCTACAATGCTACAAATTCACAATGTGCCCAATTATTACATTTTATGTAACTAATCCAACACTTCCTTGACCGAGAATTTCTAAATAAATCATTGCAGCAAAGACAAGCCACATCATCCTCATCATCTTTGGCTGCAAACAGATCTTCCGAACTTCCTGGCTTACTTAAAAAAATGTTCCTTTTAAATCGATTAACATTCTCGTATCTTTTCTTTTCTTCCCTCTGCTTGAGTTCTTTCAAATTCAAAGTTGTTGTTTAAATCCGGGGATTGTTTGTCCAGACTTTCTTTTTCTAGTTTCACTTGCTACAGGCACTGGAGAAATTTCGTGCAGTATAATTCTTTTTTTAAAGGTATATTTTTTTCGTATTGTTTTCTTTCTGATCACCTCTGGTCTCATTTTCTTTATTTTGAGTGTTATTTTAAACCTGTTCCGTCGTTTTTTACATTACTACTCCTATTTATTTTCTGAACGACTTGTCTGGTAGATTAGACTTATTTTCTTCTGTACTGCTTGTTTCTTATATTCTATTTGTGGTCTCGGTTGGTTCAAAAAACTCGTTTGGGAAAATCCTTGGGTTGAGTGGGTAAATTAAATAGAAGTAGTGATGTAAAAAACGACGGAACAGGTTTAAAATAACATTCAAAATAAAGAAAATGAGACCAGAGGTGATCAGAAAGAAAACAATACGAAAAAATATACCTTCAAAAAAAAAAAAGAATTATGCTGCACGAAATTTCTCAAGTGCCTGTAGCAAGTAAAACTAGAAAAAGAAAGTCTGGACTAACAATCCCCGGATTTAAACAACAACTCTGAATTTGAAAGAACTCAAGCAGAGGGAAGAAAAGAAAAGATATGAGAATGTTTTCAAAAAGCCGCTTGTAGTATTTTTTTATTGTTGCTGCTTTTCCGTAAGCAGAATAGAAAAATTCGGCGATCTGATTCTGTGGGTGTGGGATTACTCGTCCTTGTTGGTTCTTTAACCATAGTGTACAATTCTGGTTATAAAATATTTTCAGGGAACCAAAGAGCGGCTGTAAACGATGTGTGCTATCAGTGAAGCATAAAATAATTATTCCATTTTTTTGACAAATGTCAATGTTTTCAGTGATTTATGGCTAGTGTGCCCATTTAGAAGCAATAAAACTTTTGATTCGAGATATGCCTTAACCAAATTCTGGAAATGCTCCAACCACAAATCGAAGGTATCAGCTGTCATCCATCCAGTTTCGTGAAATAATCTCAAGAACCCAGGAGGTAAAGCAAAGCCCCTCTTTTCTATTTTTTCTAGGCGCTACGAAATTCATGCAACAGACACATGTTACATGCTTATCTCTTTCGGTGCTAGTCAATAGTCAACGACCCAACTTGCTTTCTTCCAGTTTTTGCAAAAAATTTCGGAGGTCTCTTTACTGTGGACAAATCACTTTCGTCCATATTATAAATGCGATGAATTTCAATTTTCTCTTTTTCCAGTGTCATTTCCAACGTATTAAAAAAATTGTATATGATGCTTATTAAATGCCACATCTCTAACTGCAGACACAGATTCAGGTTGCCTCAAGGATATTTCAGAATGTCGCATAAGAAATCCTCTCAGCCACTCTCGTCCAGCGCTTCAATCTTTAAAACTATTTGAAATGTCATTTTTAGTGGCCAGTTCAAATGCAAGTTTTTTTGTGTCTGTAGATGTCATTTTACCGTAATGAATAGCTATGTCGTTTTATTAGCAACTACATGTGGTTCTTTATTCTTTCCGAATTATTTTATCTGACATTCAACGACAATTCCGAGTATGTGCATCTGTAGTATATACTTACACTTATTTCCTAGCTTTGGTTTCACTTTGAAACAAATAGTATTTTCCAGTGAATATTAATTTACAGCAGAACACATTAAAACTTTTACATTTATATCATAATTACAAATCAAATGGAGTGCAGTGTAATTCAGTTGCAGTTTGCCACTTAAAACCGTATCTGTCCACTAGATGGTGCCATTACTTTTGAAATAACTAACGGAATGAAATTTTACATGCTGTCATTTTAGGACACCTTCCCCTATGCTTTTATACTTAGGTTTAAAAAGTTTTATGATATTTTTATTTACATTTTTTTTATAGGAAGTGCAGCAAAGTAGTGTGATGTTACCACATTAATCCAAATCGAAAAATCAATTCCACATTCCAGTCTAAGTATTCTAAACCAATGACATTATTTTTATACTATTGTTACATGGCTTGAAGAAAAAATTTCATAATCTTGAAATAATATTCCGTACATTATATATGTAGCACAAAATATTTGCTTGTATTTGTAGCAAGGTATTTTATCGTAATAAAAAAGTATTTGCAATAAATATAGTTTTATTGGTAAAATATATTACAATTTACATAACAATAATTTAAACATACTCTACTACCACCCAGAGATTAAAATAAAAGGTATGTACAAAATTATATTGCTTCAATTTTTAAATGCTAAACAGCTAAATGTAAATATTTCTTAAAATAATGCCTAGTTTTACATTTAAAAAGGAAGCAAATGAAATATAACAGTCTCCCAATTGATGTACCTATTTATTATTTTAGCTCGAGTGCCCACTACGTTGAATACATCATAGATTGACTTCAGAAAGGATAAACACAGCTTTTCATTGAGATTATGTGATAAATAATTCGATGTTTGACGAGAAAGTATTCGACCTTCGTTGATAACTACGCATCAACGAGTTGCAGACTTTCCAACGCAACATTGCCGGAAAATTTAGAACGTGTAAAACTTGTGATTGGGGAAGATCACTAGTTAACTGTACCTCAACTAGAAATCTATCTTGGATTTCCGAAAAGTCGGGTTTCAACAATTTGTGAATGACGCACGTCTGTGCTAAATTTGTTCCAAAATTGCTCATAAGAGCCTAGAAAAAGATTCGCTTAGAAGTTGCTCTGGATATATATATATATATATATATATATATATATATATATATATATATATATATATATATATATATATATATATATATATAAATATTGCAACTGTCTTTATGAATAGTGATCAGAATGGATCGTGAAATTGTATTTTCTTTTAACTTAAGAATATTGTTAGTGATACTTCAAAACAGGGAGCAGTCTTAATGTTTTCATAAACACCTCTTATATTTCCTTAGTCCATATCACTCTGTTGATGAAATAAACAATAGGTCATTACACTAGAATAATACATATGGACATAGAAAATTATTTTGAGGCTTGTACTATAACTAAAATCCACTTCGCTTCAAACTAAAATCAAATGTTTTATATTTTTTGTTTTTAAATGGTGTCTTATACATCGCGTATGGTGCAGTTTTAAATGTTTGTAATATACTCGTACACTGTTATTAAATATGATTACACTATCATTCAGTGAACAAAACTACAACAAGACAAACACGTGATGATAACCTTCGAGGCATATGTAATTGCTTAAACAAATGTTATTTGTCTTTAACGTAAATTCCAACCAATACAGTGTAATGTGTCTCCTGGTTTCATAGAAGTAATTCGTGTTTCTTTGCGATTTTTTTGTAAAACAACACTGCTGAATGTTGTGAGGTTCCATCAACTTAAATTGCTCTGTAATGAAAACTGATCGATATACAATTTCTTGTCAAGTCCTAGTATACGAAGCCAAAATAAACAGCCGAAGTGATCGAGTCTAGTAGACTGGAAACACAATATCATACATGAGGAGGTAAGGAACTTTGAATGCATTGGATGCCCGAAAAATCATAATATTCTGAACGGAACTGTTTCTGGCGGTATTTCAACGAAATACCGCCAGAAGTAGTAAAACACATAGGAAGTATGGTGCTTGCGTGGCTTTTCGAAGGAATGAATGCGCCTCTTGAAAAATAGCGATTGTTTTTGAATTGGAAGATCTCGAGGTTCACGTTATGTCCAAAGGGGAAGTGAAATATTGACCTATGTCTTCTGTCGTATATAGACAAACTGGATGAGAGGATACTTATAAGAGGACGAAAGGACGCAGTCATTGAAGAGTCAGAGGATCTGTCACTTCGGTAGTACGGTTTCAGAAAGAACAGGAGAACAAAAGTTATAATGATGTAGGTCTTGAGAGTAGCGCGGGTTGGCGTGATAGCCGGATTAGCGAAATGAGTGATCCTACCATTGTTTACCTACCATTAAGGAAAAAGAAGACGAAAAAAGTAGTTAAATACCTAGATGTGACTCTGTGAATACAAATGGGAGAGAATGTACGGCCAGTGCTTTACAGAGCTACGTGGAAAGGTTTCGACGCGCTGGTAGGATCAAAGGTGCGATATCCAACATTGGGGGAAAGGGAAAACAAAAAAAGGAGGTAGGCAAATTTTTTTGTGCAATAATTAACGCTTTGGTATGAACCGAGGCGGCACCTACAGATGCTTATAGAAAACACCAGGGCTCTGAAAGTTCTCACAGGATGTGCTCCCATTCATGTATTAGTAAAAAAAGGAAGAATATACGAGATAAGAAGTGAGTATGCAACAGGAGAACAGGAAGTCTGGAACAAGAGGGGTAGAACCATCGATCATAATATCGCAAGATGAATAATATAAGATAAAGAGACTTGCGCAGTGACAGAAGTCGCTGAAAAAGTTCGGAAAATCAGAAAACGATAACTAATTATGCTGCAAAAGGCATATAACCGATTGTTATCTAACATACGGGAGGTAGAGGTCAAAGGTGGGCATGCATGGGGGTGAGAGAGGAAACAGACGAAGTAGCGAAATTGCCGGCGATTTTGGGCGAATAATTCGAGATTACCTTTGATACATTTCGGCTTCATTCCTTTGCAGTTATATTTCTGGAGTTAATCAAGCAACAGTATTATAAAATGGTCACTAAAGCACTTTATTTTGCTTAATATGAGAATTTGAAAAGCTATATAATCAGCTCTACTTTGTTTTAAACAGAATCTGGTTTAAATACATATTAAAAAAATCCGTTTGTAATAGATTAGCTTTGTAAGTTATAACGTTCCAACCTCCACTTATTGGCTGCTATTTAAAAATGGGTACTCACAATATTTGTCTATCTAGGGTAACATAGTTTCAGTATGTGGTATTAAATGCAAGTCGAGTGCTAGAAAGTTTTAGACTAGATATTATTTGTTTGAGCAATGACATCCAGAAAAAGGATTATTAAAACTTAATTATTTTTGAAATACCATTGCTGACTGTGACTAAACAATTTCTTTGAATCATTTACGGTTCAATTTAAATTTGAGTGTAATGTTACTTACTTGTTAATTCTTCACGTATCATAATATATTTGAAAGTTTCTTTAAAACCCCACCATATACAACCAAATTTGATGAAAAACACGCTGCATTAATATTTAAAAAAATTTCTACCACAGATTTTGTCTCTTTACCAAATAGTTTGAAGCAGTAGATTATATTAAACCTTAATTTACAGATCAGTATTTGATTTTCGTCTAACGTATTTGTTGAAGTAATCGGGGCGCCAACACTTGCAGGAACCGGGAATAAGGAACCAGTCGTAGTAAAGTCGTACTTGGAAGCATCCTAATGCATCTATGCCGTCACATTGAGATGACGGTCTTTGTGTTGTTCCAGCATCTATAGGCTGCAAACCGGCTCTTTTGTGAAGGTACTGTTGGTAATTCTAAAACAAAATTAGTAAAGTTACAGTAACTAAGTGTAATCCCTATATTTTTTTATTTGCCAAACTATGGCCAACGTAACATTGCACGTACGATATTATATGCTACATATTCTCTGCGAAGGTCGCAGTGAATATATAGGTAGCAGTGTGTTAATGTGATTTTAAGGTTTAATGTAATATTTCTATTAATGAGCATTTTCTTTAGTTTACAGAAGGCGTCTCTGGCTTTTTCAATGGGTATTCTTATTTCTTTGCTTATATCTCAGTTATCGTTAACATTGGCTCCCAAATAGATGATATTGTGGATTCTTTCTAACTTTATTCCATTTGCTTTAATGTCCATTGCTTGTAACTCTGTTTTACTGACAACCATAAATTTTGTCCTAGAAGTATTATGTTTTAGCCCTTATTCAACACATGTTTCGATCACCTCGTTTATAAGTTGTTGACACTCTTTTTCATTGTATGTAATCAGTATTGTATGCAATCATATCTGAGATCGTTGACATTAACACCGTTGATTTTAATGCCTGCATCTTCATCTAAGACTTCTTTGAAAATAAATTCGGAGTAGATTATAAATTAGAAGCGATACAATACACCCTTGCCTACTCCACGTCGTAATTCCAATACTTCCCTTGTATTCTGACCAATTCGTATATTTGCACATTGATGTCAATATTTTTGATAATACGGAGGTCTTGCTCATCAATTCGCACCTGTTTCAAACGATCAAAGGCCTTTTTGAAATCGATAAAATATATACTGGTTGTTTAATATCCCTACATCTTTGAACCAGGACCTGCAAACTAAATAATGCTTCCTTGGTTCTAATGTTTCATTGAAATACAATTTGTACTATTTCGTAACTTATTATAGTAATACTTATTTCGGCTAGCATTTCTTAACACAATAACATTGTTGTTCGTTAATAATAAATAGTTTACCTGAAAATCTTGAACTGAAGGCGGCTGAGAAGCTGCAACAGGACTTCTTTGGGGATTTGTAGTATCGCTGCTGCTCAAAACTGTGTCTGGGTAATAAATTTCTGCGACTAAGAGACTCGACCATCTTGGACTCGATAAACATCCACCGTCTAAGTAATGGCAGCGAGCTTGTAAACATCTACAATAGGTAAAAAATAAAATTAATGTTTGTGTGTATAAAATTCAGCGTTTTTTCTTTTCTAATAAATAATCCAATGATCATAAGAAGTTGTAACGTTAAAAACGTCACATGGTTATTATTTTTCTTCAAATAATTATTTCATTCCAATTTTTTTATTTTATTTATTTGTTAGCTTTTGTTTTGTTTTACTATTTTTCTTCTGAAAACTGTTGGAGCTCAACCTTTTGCCTACGAAATATTCTGTCTGATTTTTATTATTCAATTTTAATTTCCACTTATTTCGATTGCATATCCCGTATCTATTCCATATACATATATAAACTATCTATGCTCTACTACCAAGTCCATACAGTTTATTTGTTTGTTAGCAATTCTGATTTTCTGTCACGTCAGTTTCACTTCAATGCAGAAATCAGAACTTGTTTTTATTTATATCTTTCATTTAAAGTGAGTTTTCAGTCCCAAAATGCATTTATATTACTTAAATTTTTTCTGGGTTGAGGACATATTGATATTATTTCATATTTTTAGTTGATAATTTCTTTATATTTAATATTTCACCATACATATTATATATATATATATATATATATATATATATATATATATATATATATATATATACATATATATATATATATATAATAAATATTAGTTAATATCCTAATTTATTGGTACCTATCAAACTCAAATTTTCATTTAAAGTTAGTTGAAGTTTTATTGTTACAATTGGCTTCCAACTTTCTGATAGGTAGTTATAAAGAAAAATGAGTTTCATATTACTTACCTGGTAACCTCAACTGTTTGAGTGAAGTATCCTTCATAAGGAATTTGAACTACGTATCTCCAAACTCCTTGGTAATTTTTCGCGAAAACAGGCGTAGCATATTCAACTTTAGCTGGACAAGGAGTAGGAGGTCCTTCGTACCGAGGTTGGGCAAGGGGTGCTTCGTCCCTTCTCTCTAGTGGTAGTTGAGAAGTAGCAGGACCACTGGATTCACCATTTATAGCTTTGTAAAGCATACAAAATACTCCTCCTTGGTCACAAAACTTTCTCGCTTGTCTTGAGGAAACCTGAGCAGTTGATGTCGCATTTGCTGGTGCTGCAGTAACTGGTGGGTCTGTAGAGTTTGCACTTCGTTTTGATCGATCACTCCTGTCATTGGGATGTTGGGTGTATAAACTGTAAAATATACCATTATATCAGAAAGCTATAATAGTAATACCTACTTTTACACTGGAAAAGACATAATATCTTCTCAAACTTGCAAAACCTATTCTTAACACCAATCGAAACATAACTGTAGATAGCCGGTTTTCGCCAATAAAATTAGTACATGTTCAAAAAAAACATACAAATCGTGGATACATTATAGAGAGAGCACTGATAATGAAGTTAGGAATAATCGCTTTGTACAATTTGTTTATTTACAGTATATCTTCTGTAAATTCATATATTTTGTATTAATTATATGAGTCAAAATATAGATTTTGAGTGATGAAGTGTTTTATTAGCCTTAAAAAACGATAAAAAGTAATAGAAATCAAGCTTTTCATCTCTATTTTAAAATTAACTCTCAAATTCAATCGGTTTTTTAACGTACTAAAATACTTTTAGTACGTTAATTTGTTTGTTAAAAAAAACAAATCGATATTTTTGACTTAACAACTTTTTAATTATCAGTTCAGAATTGATATATAAGTTATATTAAATTTTACAGAAAAAATAAAATTCATACAAAACAGATTACTTAAAAATGATTACTTCATTTCTCAGTGTAACTATCATTTACTACAGTTTTGAACGACTTCCTCACTACTTTTCTTCGTGTAATCAAATGTAGGTTCATTGCTACTGTCACTCTGAATTTCTGTCCTCCCAACATCAAAGGTTCCGACAAAGCTTTCGCTTCTGGTTGTGATTAGTGTTCTGTGATTGCACTTCTTGTCTAACAATATTTTTGCCCCACTACCTTTACATTCCCTCTTTTGTCTTTTTTAACAGAAGAGTTAATAGCAAAATTGTGCATGCAAACCCTAACATTTATGTGTAATATGGAACTCGGTTATACCTGTCGGTTATGCATGCAAGGTTAAAACCATCATGCAAACCCTAACGTGTATGGCCTCCATTACACAGTTTTCACCTACTCACTATTGATCTCATTCGATACTTTTAATATTCGCAATATTTTTATCCAGTACCTACGTAAAAGAATAAAAAAAGTGTACCGAACAACCTCTCCCTTATTTACATACATTTAGGCTATTGTTTAAATCTTAAGTCAGCGTTTCATACTTTTTATACTAACCTATTTTGGCTGATGTAATCGTCTTGTAGTTGTGCAACTTTTGGTAAGGTTTCGTCCGCCTTAAGAATTGGTAACGTTCGACTGAGATATTTCAGTGTCATGTTTCTAATCAGTTCACTGAAAATGAAAGTAAAAATATTAACTAATTCGGTTATACAACGTAAATAAATCAATTTTTTTTGGTGTATTTATTATAAGTCAGTGATGTAATTTTTCACAAGAGTTCATCAATATTTTAAGATCTTAGTGTACTTATTGCATTTTTAGTTAAATTCGGTAGGTATATATGTATAAATAAACTTACACAAATTTATGTATGTTAGATGCCGTTAAGAAATATGGTAAAAATGCAGGCTCGGCTCCAGTCAAAGGAAAAATAAATTTAAACATACCAATTAAGTGAGTGGAGAAAGTGATTGTTGTTCTTCTTCTACTTATTAGATACTACTACTAAGGCAACCGCATTGCTGACCAATTATCTAGGAAGGCGGCAGGCCTAAGACTCTTAGGACTTGGGGATCTTCTTGGTTGGTCAACTACAACAATCGCGGAAATTGTCAAATGTCACTCCCATACGCAAACCGTAAAAAGATGGAAAGAAGGGAAAGGATGTAAACTTGCCAGGGTAATACTAAGTAACCTTGAAGAGTCAATATCAAAGAAGTACTTGGGAATGACCAGGAAAAATCTACGTTTGGTAGTTGGTTTTTTAACTGGTTATTGTCAACTAAGCAAACACCTCCACACACTGGGGCTAGTAGACACACCTCTATGTAGGAAGTGTGAACGAGAAGACGAATCTGTAGAGCATGTCCTATGTGAATGCCCAGAGTTATCGTTAATACGAGAGTACGCGTTCGGCGAGTCCTGGCCTACACCTGCCCACTTAAGTGAGATGTCTCCTGGTGACTTGTCCACCTTCCTAGAAATGGCAGGATGGACAATGAGCTAAGGGTGACAGCTCCCTGGGAGGATGCACAATGGGTCAATTGTGGCCTAAGTGCTGTGAAACTTAACTCGCCCTCCCTACTCTACAGATACTCTACAGATAGATACTACTAGTCTCTGGAACTTGTTCCTCAAGTTTTTGTACCAAACCTTAGCCTTACAATAAAACCAACTAAGAAGTCGAAAGAAAATGTAAAAAGTATTTTTGAAGTGTGTATATTTTAGGCAATTTCTAGCTGAGCGCTTTCGGCTTTACAAAGCCATCATCAGAGCTATGGTCAATTTTTTAAATACCACTACAAAGGAGAGATCTCATTTCCTTATATTTCCAAATTATGATTTTTGTTGCAATTCTTAGAACATATAAAAAAACATATAAAAAACCGACACTGGACTTCACAAACACGTTAAAAAAATTGAAAAAAATTTTTTGTCATGGTGCGGGTGTAAGAACCCGACCATTGTTTGATCTGAGGGGGTAGGCAGAATAGAACTAATAGTGTCGGTTTTTTATATGTTTTTTATATGTTTTTTTATATGTTCTAAGAATTGCAACAAAAATCATAATTTGGAAATATAAGGAAATGAGATCTCTCCTTTGTAGTGGTATTTAAAAAATTGACCATAGCTCTGATGATGGCTTTGTAAAGCCGAAAGCGCTCAGCTAGGAATTGCCTAAAATATACACACTTCAAAAATACTTTTTACATTTTCTTTCGACTTGTCATAAGTGTGTACAAAAAATATCAGTCTTTTGACAACTAAGAAGTTCTTCGCTCTACATAAAAGACACGGCTATCTGTGCATACATTGATCCCCTTCGGTCCGAAAGCCATTTTGTTAATTTCTCTTGAATAGTACATAAAGATGCAAGATTGTATAAATCTCTGCCAAGACTATAGAGTTATATTGTTCTAGTTAAATAAAAATGTTTACGAGGATATCCACTTGGAAAGGTACCTACTCTATCTATGTAGCTCATGTATCTTTTTACCATATAATCAGATTTCATTTATGATGTTATTATGTTTTAACCATTACATTTTTTAGGTTTTTTCTAGTCTATAATATTCCAATCTCGCTCTCTCCTTATAATGTTGTGGTAAGAAGTGAGGACCAATAGCTGCTTTGGTATGGCCCTCAGAGCCCCTATGATCCCAAGTTAAGCAAATCTTCGCATCCTTAAGTTTGAGGATGACACCTTTTTGCTCCATCTTTGGCAAATCATACCACGGATATCTATTTTTTTACCGCCATGTTATAAATGCAATATATCTCTCCAATTCCTTTAAATTCAGGTTTATGGAAAATTTCAAGAATTTTGACTTCTGTTAGCTAATGTTATACCCTACATTTAAAGGTCATTCTGTATCTACAGCCAGTCTGTTACATTTTATGTGTGCTAAGATGACCAGGTTATCGGCAGATCTACATTTCCTAAGTCTAACTATTAATCTTTCACTGATCAGATGCCACAAGAGAAAAGATAAGGTTCCCCATCCGCAGGTAGCATCTGGTTACCTGTGCTCATACTGTAACTCCCCAGTAACGTTACATATATTATACGAATTCTCAGCATGCATATATCTCTTGTGATTATTTCGTAGGAGATTTTATCCAATTCTTTCTCTATATCGAGAAATGCATCCATCATCACCTCTTGGCTTTCCAAAACATACTCATCAGCATGATTCTGGCTTTACAATCCTGCGTGTATCCCAGTCTCCTCAAGAATTTCTCTCCAGTCGTCTCTATCCATCGGTTTCCTCCGCCAAGTAAGTATTCCCATATTTTTCATGTCTTCAGCGATGTTATCAAAAAACTTTGTTCTGGGTCTTTCTGTTCTTCTCTGACCAATGGGTCTATCAAGGAACGTTTTTCTAGTTGAGTCATTTTGTTCCATCTGAATTACATCCCCTATCCACCTCAGACGCCCTATCAACATGTTTTACGTTATCTGGTTCCTGGTATATTCTATAAAGTTGGAAGTTGTATTTCTTTCGAAATATCCTAACATGTTTTCATTACATTTTGTTAAAGTCCAGGTCTATAAACCATATGTTATGACTGGGCTATTACATGTTAGGACTAGACTGGTTATTACTGTTTGGTACAGTTTTATTTTTGTATTTCTCGATATAATTGTGGATTTAAGGAGGAGATTGAGCCGAAAAAAGCATCTCTTGGCCGCGCAAATTCTGTGGTTTATCTCTGGGGTAGTATTATTTTCAGCCTTATGGAGCGCTCCCACATAGATATACATATTCGTTCACTGCTTTGATGTCATCGTTTTCTATAATAAGTGGTCATAGGATTTGTGGTTGCTTGCTTATTTTTATATAATTTGTTTTGTTGGTGTTTATTATTAAACTTTCTCGCAACAATATTGATATCATTAACATGAAAAAAGATTTTCACTGATTTATTATAAATTGAATCAATGTGTGTGATTTGTGACATACGTATTACTTTTTCCAGAGCCATATTGAACAGTATACAGGAGAAAGGGGCTTCCCAGCGCAGCCCGTTATATATCTTTTAAAAGGTTCAGACAGTTCTTCCAGAATTCGTACTGTACATTCAACATTTTCAAGAGTTAGGTTTGTTAAATTTACCAACTGATTTGTTATTCCTAGCTCTTTTATTGCTTTAAACATTTCTCTTCTATTCACAGAGTCTTAGGCTGATTTGTAGTCTATAAATGTGTAATAAGTATCTATGCCATAATCAAGTGTTTTTTCTAAAATTTGTTTCAGGGTTGCAATATGATGAATTGTCGATTTACCACTACAGAAACTAGCCTGGTATTTTCCTGCTATCCGTTCTACATATGGTGCCATACGATGATATAGCACTGTGGAAAATATTTTATCTGTGGTTAGAGTATTCAAAGCTATTTACTTTTTTGTGTTTGGTGCAAAGTATTCCAGTATTACAATGATTGAGGAGGGATTTCTACGTCCATATTTCTTTCATAAGCTGCTGTAATGCCATTATGGTATCGTGGCTACCTTCTTTATATATTTCAGCTGGGAGAATATCTATTCCGGGTGATTTGTTTCTGGCTAGTTTTTTAACTGCATCTTTACCTTCAAACAATCGTTGGTGGTTCCTCTTCCCTCTCGGCTGTTCCCCTTACCTCATTTACCTCATTTCTTTCGTCTTTTAGGTTTCCTTCTTCGTCCTCTATATTAAGTGTCTGGTTAAAGTATTTCACCCATCTATTCAATATATCTTTCCTGGTTGTTAATAGGTCACCATTCTGACTTCTACATTGTCTTGTGGTTGCTTTGAATTCTTTTCTGTTAATGTTAACTCTCTTATAGAATGCTCTTAATACTTTCTCTATGTTGAGGTTTTCTATACATTTAATTTGCGTATTTAAGTGGTTTCGATTTTTTTGTGTATCCTCTTTTATTCTTTTTGTCTGATAATTCTCTACAGTTGTTCTATTTCGTCGGGTAAGCTTCATTTTTTTGGTTGCCAATTTCCATGATTTTGGTATATACCCCAGTCCTAAGCTAGCATGTAGCATCATACATAAGTTTTTGTAGAGAAAGTAATTTCCTTTGTGTAGAAGAATTGGATAAATTCCGCCCGGACTTGGTGACTTATATGGCGGAAATGAGTTTATTGTTAATTTGATTTTGGTCTTTTCCACCACCTCTTTTGCCATACACCATTTTTCCCTAAAACCACAAGTCACGGAATCCAGTCCAGTCTGCTGCCATAGGTCTAAAGGTTTCTTCACCATTTCGTATGTATTTACCTGACTCCTTTTGGAATGAGGTTATATGTATGGATCCTTGGCATTTATGCAGTATCTTCTCTTTCCTCGCAATGCCTTCTCCATGATTCTCTTTTGTCTCTTCTCATTTTCTCATTATACTCTACCAGAGCTTTGCGATAATCACCGTAAGCACCAAATATTTTGACAAAATTAAATTTTCATCATTTTTTTTGTCCTTTGATTTGAAGAATATGAAGGTATCTTAAGGGCACTTTCCTGTTGAAATTCCTCAATATATCAGGCAATTTTTTTTGAACGCCAACATGACCACCAAATTCAATTCAATTTAAATTTTTCAGCAGCCATGTCTTGTTACAGTTTATGCCTTTTAAACAATATTCAAGGTCTATTTGATATTTTCGCAGTCTATGATAGGTTTCCTTGATGGGGCTCATTACCTGTAATTTTAAAACGATGTGATCGATAATTTGAATAGTGTTTGAAGTGTTTGTCTCAAGTTGGTCATTCCGAATTATGTCTGCCTTTTTTAATTTATCAATTTCCATAGATTCTAATATACATAGCTTAAGGTCTTTATTTAGAATGTGTAGACTTGTAAATTGGCCATTAAAGAAATAATTATGGTCTATAAGATGTAAGTTTGTATACAGCACTGTGTAAGTGCTTTTTCTTTTGGTTCTTGTTGTTCTTAATATATTTGCTTAAGTTGTTGTTTGTTTTAAAAGCAGATGTTATTCCTTTCTTTTTTATGTATTTGGGGATTGATGTTGATGTCTTGCCTGTGTATGTAATCGAGCTGAACGGACTGGGTTTTTCTTCTGGTTGTGGAAATACACCTTTCAGGGCATTTTTATGTAAGGTAGGTGACCCAAATAAAGTCATGGCCCTAATAAGGCCAACAGCCTTTATTTCTAAAAGTACTTACACTGGATAGATGATCGCATCACCATCTGCTTTAGTTGATGATAAAGTAATAGTAGTTTCAAGTTTCTAAGTCATATGCGCCACCGTCAGTCACACGTTGTATCAGATCAAGTTTGAAGGTTATAATTTCAGGTAAGTTTTAATTTTCGAACTAACGTAAATTTGTCCATCAAAACTACTAAGTGGTTTACATTTTTGACTTTAGCGTTAATTGCATTATAAGATCATAGCATGAGTCTTTGAAACACATAAAGTATGTAGTGGTTATTGTAACGGATTCAATTGGTAAACAAGGATGCCCTAATAACGCCAGTGCCTGGCCTTATTAGGGCAAGTTCTAGCCTTATTAGGGGAATGGCTTAATACAAATTTTATTCCTTTAATTAACTTTTAAATGTTGCGTTTATATAGAACTATTCTGCTATTTATAAATAAAAGCTTATTACTAAGTATGTTGAATTACACTGAACCAACAATTTTTGTTCACAATGTTTGAGACAAGATGGAGTGGAATGCATTTAAGAAAAAGCGAACTGAATGAACCGAAGAGCAAATGAAGCAGGCCTGGAATGCTGTTTGAAATGGAATGTCTGTCAATGAGGCTTCAAACGAATTCCGGATAGCTAGGAGGACCTTACGAAACCATTTAACAATAGGTATATCAACTAGAAAATTAGGTGAAAATACAATTTTATCATCTGGTCAATAAACTGAACTTTGCTGAAGAATCTTACGCCTTGCTGACGTTGGAATGCCTATTACTAGCAAGATAATTGGAAGAAGTGTATTTTTTTTCTGCGAGGAAAACAATGTTCCACATACTTTTAACCCAATGAAACAAAAAGCTGGGCTTAAGTGGTTGAAACTTTTTGGGTTGCCACTTTGATGTGGCTAGGCGTAAAACGCAAAATTTAAATTCAGAAAGAGCAAGTAAACTTAACAAAGTGATTGTCACTGATTACTTTGAGGAGCTGAAGGTATAGAATATTTACAATATCGATGAAAAAGGCTGTCGTTTGACACTGCATCACCAATAGGAAGTTTTTTCCAAAAAAGGAACGAAGAGAGTGCATATAGTAGCACCAGCATGCTGAAAACGTGAAACTCATGTCGTGTGCCAATGCTAGTGGTCAGTACGTACCACCAATGATATAGTTTAAGGGTCAGAAACCCAAACCAGAATGGGAAGAAAATCTTCCTCATGGAACCAATGTAATTATGACACCTAAAGGAAGTATGACACACTATGTTTTTTTGAAGTGGATCAAACATTTTCAACAGTTTCGAGTTGGAGGTTTGAGTTGAGTTTTGATGGTGTTAATTCTCATTTAGATGCAAACATCGTTGAAGCTGCTGAAAAATGCGACATTACTCTATTTTGTCTGTTAAGCAATACAACCCATGAACTACAGCCTATGGGTAAGTTTGTTTTCAAACCTTTCGAATAGTTTTGGGATAGTGAAGTTCTTCGTTTTTGGATGAATAATCCTGAACGCTCTTTGAAGAACACAAAAAAGCAAAAAACAGAACAGAATGGCGTGAAATCCTAGAACAAGCCAGGAACAAGAAAGCGTTGTCGAGTTACTGATGATGATGAATCCTGAACGCTCGATAAGACGCACAGTCTTTGGACAAATATTAAGTTTGGGCTAAAGCTATGACACCAGGAAATATTATCTCCGGATTCAAAGCTACGGGAATTTACCCTTTCAATCCATCAGTGATTCCAGAGAGCGCGTATACACCTTCATGCCTAACCGAACTTTAAAATGATGAAAATGAGCAAGACTCAAACATTTTCACGAATCAGAAGAAAATTAAAGAAAGTGAAAAAAGTACTTCTGCAGAACCGATGAATCAATTTTCAGCTAAAAGAATCAAAACCTTACTTCCTAAACGTTCTTCCAAATACCAAGATGTTTGCTCTGAAAGTGATGATTCTTCAAATTACTCGATTCATGACACATCAGACAATGAAGATATGGGACCTGTACCAATTGTTACCTTTGAAGACACCACATGTAAGCTAAACACGTCCTTCACAGAAATGTCTACTCCCAAGATTAAAAGGATTCAAAGATAAAAATCCATTGGTGATTAACTAGTTTACTGCCCAATGCCTCCCAATGAAAATGAAAAAAAAAATCTTCAAGGAGTGAAATTGTTGATCCGTCACTACCATTTACAAGCAGTACAATTAAGAGGCCATTAACAAACCCATTACAGCGAGGTCTGTCCTATAAGGAATCATGGTACTGCTTCGTTAGTGACGAGGTCCAGATCAGCGATATGAGGTTGTGCTTAGCCTGTGAACGGTTTGTGCATGAAGAATGCGTAGGACTTACACAATCCGACAAAGACGCATTTATCTGCCCAAAATGTACTTTTTAAAAAATATTCATTTTGTAAATAAATAATTCAAAATTATATTATTAAACTGTTTATTCGGGCTGTTGGGCCGTTGTCTTCTGTTGGGATTAGTTCTCGACGTTTCGCCAACACTAGGGGTTGGCATCTTCTGGAGATGTTGATGCTTCGCTTGTAAGCAGAAACTGACGACGCGTTGTACTACGGAGGCAATATTTATAATTCCCACTCGCCTCTCCTCCACTGGTTTCGGCTTGAGGGGGCGTGTCGTTGTTTATAGTAGCTTTTCTATCTCCGTGTTTGGCGGGAAGGGCGTTTGTGGATTTTAATACTGGTATCCATGTTTTGTTGATTTTTAGTCCTTCTTCTATCCTATTGAAATTGTTTGGGTGCTTGTATATTTCCACCGCTTCCCGATATAACCGTAGGTAGTACTGTGAAGTTTTGTCCAGCATCTGTGTTTCTTCAAATAGTATTCGATGTTCTCCGCTTCCCAAAGCGTGTTCGGCAACGGCAGATTTGTCGATATGTCCTAAACGACAATGGCTTTTATGTTCATTTATCCTGGTGTTGGTGTGTCTTTTTGTGGTTCCCACATATACCATTCCACATGTGCATGGTATTCGGTATACTCCGGCCGTTGCTAATGGGTCGCGTTTGTCTTTTACCGATCTTAAACAATCCTTGATCTTCTTTGTAGGTCTGAAGATGGTCTTTATGTTGGCTTTCTTGAGTATTCGCCCAATTCTGTCCGTTACCCCCGATATATAGGGCAAGAACGCTTTCCCTTTACATTCTGTTTCTTCGTCCCTTCTTCTAGATACGTTGTTCATCGCCTTGTGTATTTCTCTTCTGGTGTACCCATTAGAGGTGAGCGCTTTTTCAATATAAAGAAGTTCACTTTAGAGATGTTGTGGTTCACAAATTCTCTTCGCCCTCTCTGCCAAAGTTTTGCAAAATTTCAAACGTTAACGTGGCCTTATTTTGGTGACCTATCTTAGTTTTTTATAACATATAATAGTAATTCTTTAATTAGAGACCTAGTATTTTAAATATGCTTTAAAAAAATAAAATGATAGTATAAACACTTACAATGGATATGGAGAGCCCAGAACGTTTTGTCCCATGGGGTTTTTAGGAATAGTTCCTTTATTTAGGTCGCCACAAAGATTGAATAAGGAACCTTGAGGAGATCTTGAATCATCTTCTCTGCAATCTACCAGCACATGTGTATAAGGCGGTGGGCGCACTCTTGGAGGCTCAGCATTTGGAGATTCTATAAATGCGTAATAACCTTCAGGAGGATCTTCTAAATCATTATCGGCCGCTTCCAGGTGTATGCAATAGTGTAATAGTAAAATCTAAAATGAAAATAATATAATCAATACGAATAATAAAAGTCTGTTAAATATAATAATAGGTAATATTATTATATTTAACGAAGAGAAGTTGAAACGAGAATAATGGCAGGAAATAGATCTTTCTTTGCAATGCAACATCTGATGAAGTCGAAACTTCTTTCACGGGGTACAAAGATCCGGATATATAAGATCATAATACGACCAACAGTCGCGTATGGAAGCGAAACATGGACGATAACAAAAAGAAAAGTAAATAAATTGCTGGTATGGGAACGTAAAATTCTTCGAATAATATATGGCCCTTGCAGAGACAGCATGACAAACGAATGGAGGGGCAGATACAATAACGAGCTAGAGTCTCTATTCGGAAAAGAAAATCTAGTCAGATATATAAAGGCCAATAGACTCAGATGGGCAGGACATGTGATACGCAGTAACGACAATCGCCTTATAAACAATGTGTTCTGGGAAATGCCAGATGGAAGAAGGTCTGTAGGGTGGCCTAGAAAAAGGTGGAAAGATGCAGTCAGAGAAGATCTAGAGAATATGGGAGTGCGACAATGGGAATTACTGTGCAGGACCGACAAACATGGAAGGCAATAGTAAACGCGGCAAAGACTCACGAAGAGTTGTAGCGCCATTGATGATGATGATGATGTAAAATAAAGATGATTAAGAGTTTTTTAAAAAAAGACATGTTTAATAGTCACTAAAGTGTAAATCGTAGCCAAAAAAAATATCGCCAATGTTTACAAAATTTTCCGCTACCCCAGATGAAAAAAAAAGCGAAATTGGTCCATATTTAACGAAGATGTGATACGTTGTTACCAGCGCTGCGGTTTTGAAGTGCGCTGAGCCGACATTAGAACCAGCCAAAAGCGAGCCGATTCGGCTACTCGAAAAAACAGTCAACTTTACTCATATTTTTCCACCATAAACAGCGATTTTTTAAAAATAAAATTATATCTTCATAAAATATACGCTTTTAACTATTGAATGGCACCAATTTTAATTATTACTTGTTATAAACACATCAGTTGTGCATTTTTAAATAAATTAAGCTAACTCGACCTTTGTTGGTCGTAGAAAACTTTTCTTTAATCTTTGTCTTGAGTTTCAGCGATTAGAATCAATAAGTTAAAAATGTGTGTACTGTATAGGTAGCTACACCTAATTAGTTTGTAATGCAAAAAATCGTTCTAAATTCAAAGCAATAAATAAGGGTTTGAAAAACCTTTGAGCAATTATTTTTATTCCTATATAATAATATAATTGACCAAATCTGTTTAAAATTAGATCTTCGAAAAAAGTCCTAGCTCTGTAAAGTTTATAAAAATTGTAGAATTTTTGAAGAAACGTATCTCGAAAAGAATTGACCGATCGGATCACAGGAAACCTCATTCGATTTGTAATTAAAGGAGCCAGGTACAATATAATGCTTTTTGTATAAAAAAAATAATTTTTACAAAAGATATTTTAAAAATTAAAAATTGCGAAAAATTCACATTTTTGGATTTTCAATCGTTAAATTTGGATTAACTATTGGGTCAAATTTAATGTAACACAACTCAAATTAAGTTTTTTTATCTACTTTCATTCATAATTATGCCAATTTTACATTAAGGTATTGATTTGATACAATAATAATAGAAATAACACCTTAAAAGTGTACTAAAAAAATAATAACCAACAACTTTGAGCTGTAAACACTTGGAGGTTGGACGACAGCTTGGATTATAACACTTTCTTTAGTTTTTTTAGAAATAGGAACTTTAATAGCAAAAAAGATCAATAGATAGGAAAAAATGGTTTAAGATTATGAGATATGCAAAAGAACTTATCATACACGGGCTGTTAATGATAATAGATGATGATAACAATATTTATACCGCTTCTTGAATACTGAGGATAATTTAATAACATTTTAAAACCATCCAATATGGTTTGTTACGAAATTTGGTGAAATATATGATAAAGTTGATGAAATAATGTGTGCATATTTACCTTTTTAAATCAAGATCGTCTAGTCAGAGTCAAGACTCTTGCGATCATTGACTTTGCCCTGGTATTGCGATCATAAATGTAAAATCATTATGTTGTGAAATATAAAATAAACACCTGTTATTTAAATCTTGCAGAACTGTTATATTATTGATGAACTAACTGTTAAACCTGCTTTAATTTATGCATGCACCCAAAATATCCAGGGAAGACCATTTTTATGTTCACGGTACGGGGATTTAAATATAATTAACATAACAGTTAAAATAAAAATTTTTAGATCTGTGATTGCTTGTAAAGCAACTGCAGAAATATACTCACGGAGATATAAAAACAAATTAACCTATGTTGAAAACAAAGTAGAAATAATTAAACACAGAAAAGAAATAACATAATAACTAGAGACTGGATTATATGCAAAATGCATGTGCATATATATGCAGCATATTTGTGGGTTTCTTTAAATTTATTCATATTTACTTGATTAAGAGCATATTGCCACATATTTGAAAATATCACATAAATAAAATGGTTTTCTATACACATTTAGATCTTCTTCTTCAAGTGCCATCTTCGTTGCGAAGGTTGGCGATCATCAGGGCTATACGTATTATCGAAACTGCTGACCGAAACAATTCGTTGTTGCTACAGCTATACCATTCCCGTAGATTCTTTAGCCAGGAGTTTCGTCTTCTTCCTATGGACCTTTTTACTGCTATTTTCCCTTGCATAATTATTCGAAGCAGTTGATATCTTTCGCCTCTTGTAATGTGTCCCAAGTATTGCAGTTTTCGTTTTTTGATCGTAAATATGACTTCCTTTTCTTTATTCATGCTTCTCAAGACCTCGACATTTGTGACTCTCTCGGTCCATGATATTCTCAGGATTCTGCGATACATCCACAGTTCACATGCCTCTAATTTTGTGATATCAATATTTTTCAAACGTCCATGACTCCATTCCGTAGAACAGCACAGAAAGTACGTAACATCTCATTAGGCGAAGTTTCATTTCAAGGCTCAAATCTCTTCCGCAGAACACTCTCTTCATTTTAGTGAATATGGATCTGACTTTTTCTATTCTTATTTTGATTTCTGCTGAGCTATCGTTGTCTTCATTTATAAAAGTGCCTAAATATTTGTATTTGCTAACTCGATCGATAATTTTATTCTGTAAATATAAATTTTGGACATTTTGTGTTGATTTCGATATAAACGAAGTGTAACTTCGTTACGAAGTGTAATTAAATAGTGTAGTTATTTAGTCGAATTTTCAATTATTATTAAAAAACAAAAAAACTTACTTATTCTCTTATTACCCTGATCTGAAATATTTAAAACTAACAAAGTGAAATGTTAGATTCTTGTTCTAGTTTCTGATCCATCGTTCTGCCAATCTCTTTTCAATTATATTAAAAATAGTATATTTCTTTTTATTACAATTGTAGTACCTAATAAAGTAATAAAATAGTGTTTACGCCTCTTTGGTGTTTACATTTCACGGAAACCCAACCCAAATATGTGATGAACATATTTGGCTCATAGATGTCATTGTATTTATTTGTAGGACCATTTGCGTAAATTTTTTTGTTATTTTCGGATTAAATTTCACAATAAATTTTGCGTCTATTTGAACATCTATTAACTGAAATAATTTTAGTTGTCATATAACATAAATAATGTCATACTAACAGTAGTAGATTCTTTTTATTAGAATAATAATTAGACCAATTTACTTTCATACTTCTACTTGCACAATAAAATATTCGTTGTCGCAATAATCTAAAACAGTCGTATATTTGTGGAATAACCTATACTGATTCTTCTTATGATTTTTAATCATATATGTTTGCAATTTTCTTTGTTTGGTCATTTCTCTTTTCTTACTATTGATACTTTTTGTTTTATCTCCCATATGACCAAGAATTTGATTAAATTTATTAGTACTAGGTATCATCCAGGTGCCTTTATGAATATTTCGGTGGGGGAAACACATAATAACTACTCTGAGTCGATTTGCCATTGCCAGATGTGTCACTCTTATACCGTCATTGCTGGTAATATCATGTAAACTATTCTTATTAAAGGATTCTGAATATATTGGCTCTTTTCCCAAATTGGCGTTCATAATCTCCTAGGACTATAACTGCATTTCCCTTTCGCACGTTTTCACATTCTAATTGTAGTTGGTCGTAGGATTGATAGGTCACTAAAACATTTGCTGTTTATGTTTTCACGTGGATATTAATAAATAGGTTAACGGCCTAATGCACTTAGGTCCAGTGCTAGCTATGGCTTCTGAACCAGCCTCAACCTTTAACCTTTCAACAGACAGAACGTGTCTAATTACTTAATAAAGAAAATTTTATGTATCTGCAAAATTATGATTTTCATGGCTCAAAAACACAAGTAAAAAACAATATTTTTGAATTTACCAAGGACCTAAACTTAAGTTCAAACCTTGGTCTATCATTTCTCGATAAGTATTTTTGACTTATTTCATTTAAAAACATTGTTTATGAATCGTTAATGAAGCGCTTATGACAGAGCGGGCGCTCGGGCTGCGGCGTGTATAAGAGAGAAAAATAAGATCTAATGTACAAATGTTTGCTCGTTTCAATTTTCATTGTACAAATGAGCGTCCGCTTTGCCGTACGCGCTTCATTATCTATCCATTAATAACTACTAAACCATTGCTTTTCAAGTGAAAATGAGTGTTTGGCAGGACAGGTGCTCATTTGTACAATGAAAATTTAAACCAGCAAAAATGTATGCCCTAGATCTTGTTTCTCTCCCGTATACATGCCGCAGCCCGACCACCCGTTCTATCATAATTCATTAAAGATTAAAAAACAATGTTTTAAAATTAAATAGGTCCAAAATACTTATCAAAAAATGGTAGAACAAGGTTAAATTAAGGTTCTTGGGATTTTATAAAATACTTTTTTACTTGAAACTTAAAATCTAAAATGATTTTTACGTGTGTTTTTGAGCCTTGAAAATCGTAATTTTGTGTTTTTCTCAGTTTTAAATTATTTATAACTCGAAAACGGTCAAGTTTACAGAAAAACTACAAGCATTTTGTTCAGAATAATCCAAAAAAAATTTAAAAATAATCCGGACCGAAAAAATTGATTTTGTTTAAAACAAATTGTTTAAAATAATTTAAACCACTTTTCGCCTGGCTCTTGAACCTTATTATGAGGTAGGTATCTTATAGAAATGATAATATAAAAAAAGCTCATGGGAGTATTTTTCCGAACGAACCCGAACTTTTCGCCTTGTCTATAACGCATTGAACATAATTTTCTTTTTTACATAAAAAACATTAAAATAAAAGTTTTTACAGTTTTACTTAACAAACTCTGCGTAACTAAAGAAATTGTTTGATACCCGCCAATGGTATTATTACATGTATATAGGTATGTTATTAATTAGTAGCTTAACAGTTAACGACCTTTGAAGGCTGTGTTAAGGTCAAGGTTATGTAAAGTAGGTTCTCGGGTCAATTTCACTGGTATTTGTCGGTCCCATAAAACACACGCGACATTCTGACACCCACATTCTACGAGGTTCTTTTTTTTCATTATACAGGTTGGAATTATTAAACCATAGAGAGTACAATATGTTTTGTAGTTATTTTTTTAAATAATTAGATTGTTCTAAAAAGATTAATTGGTCGAAAACCTGCCATTATTGAAAAATATTTCTACTCTCACAATTCAGGTAAAGATATAAATTCAGGTAAATTATAACCCAGATCTTTTATTTGCGCCAAATATATGAAAAACATAAATGATTGTTTAAATTAACAATTGCTTTGATATAATCTTACAGAAAAATAAGAAAATTTTAAGGCTCTAATTTACTATACCCACACCATATTACGTTTATGTTCAAAATTTATTGTCAGCAGATCCATCAATAAGATAGAGGTTTGCAAGTGATATACGAAACTATATTTACACTCTACAATGCTTTTACTTCGAGAAATGAGAAGATAAAAAGAAGAATGGCAGTAGAGAAGACATCATACTAAGCTACATTAAAAAAAAAACGTTTAATTTTGTATGTACATATGAGAAGTGCAGATCGTACAATGTGGATATCAAAGATTTTGGATTGAAGTCCAATAGGAAAGAGAAAAAGAGGTAATAATCCTTAATTAGTCTTCTAAATACCCACATTTCAAAGGCCTCTAATCGATTCATCACATTGGCCTTTATGGTCCAGGTTTCTACACCATATAGCAGTATGGGGTAAATGTAACATTTTACAGGTAATAATGACTGTGAAAAAGAAGCTACAATTGTGTGCAGTATCTTTATCTAATTGTAATAATTATGGTAGCAATAAAGAAAAAAAATCATACGCTTCTTAAAAAAAGCGTATATGGAGAAAAAAATGTTTCGAGAAAAGAAGGTTAGACTTTTCCTTTTACAAATGAATAATAATATTTTGTTTAAAGAATTGTTATGAATAAATGAGAATAACCTTACTTTTATTACAAGAAATTAAAACATCTCTAATTTTTAGTACTGAATCAGCGCCCGCATCTAATTTGTAGATACAATATTTTTAGTACGAAATTCAGTACTGAAATTAGCTTAATGACAAGCAGACCTTGTGGAATCCAATTTAATAACCACTAAATTAGTGGCTCCCATTGCTGACAGTACCCCAATAGGCGACACCAGAATAATGTGTATTTAAAGGGTAAGTCTTAGGGGGTGTCAGTTATTGGTACAAGATCCGAGCGAGTGTCCAGTAATAATTGACACTAGTGTCAGCTATCGGGTTTCAGATGTTTTTATACTTTGAATGAATATTTAAGTAGGAATCACGTAAATAACCCTGTAAATGCAACCAAAATTTTATAATTTTATGTTGTACCAATAGCTGAGACCCATGTCTGATATTGGTTACTAACATATGTCAGCTAATGGGTCCAAATAATATTTGTTTAATAATTTAGATTTTCTTTATATTTCAGTTGTCAATGCCGAAGAATACAGAAATTCACAATAATCCATTTCCTGTAGAAGAAACTCCACAAGAAAAAACATTTCAACAAATGTTAGAGACCTACATTGACTCTGGCTACAAGAATTTAATGCAGCTGTCTCGGATACGTCGAACGGAAATATACAACATTTAAGTCTTTTTCAAGTTTAGCTGAAGATCAAAAATGAAAAACAACTTAACACATTTACCATTCCCAAATTAAATGACCCTGAAATCTCAACAATAGAAGAAGACCGTTCAGATAATAAGGAGAACAGCATGGATAAATGCAATACAGATAAAGATCCACAACCACATTTTGATCCTGATAATAATACACCAGGTGGCAATGCTGCAGTTACTGAACTCGATTTTAATGTTAACGATACAACTACTTTAGAAAACTTACAACAGGGTCCCCTTGAAAAATCGCCTAAAAAATATATACCAATTGATCGAAAAATTCCTACTCCATTTCAGAAGGCATTGTTTTGTCCTGACAAACCATGTTCTAAAAAAACGAAAAACAGACACGGTGAAAAGTTGCCTTCTGTTGCAACGTCCACTTAATTGGAATTACAAGAAAATTCAGATTCTGATGAAAAGAAGATTCTGAAAGAAAAAAAAAACAAAACGAAATTTCAAGAAAAATTCAGATTTTGAAACATCTCTATCTGATGAGCAATTAAAATTTGGAATCTGATAGTGGTGATGGCATTCCACCTATTGTTCCAATATTCAACAAATCTTATTTAAAAGAAGGTGACCATGTTTTCGTTATTTATGAAGATCAACACTACTCGGGAAAAATAAAAGAAGTAGAAGAAAATAAGGCATTTGTTAGTGTAATGGTAAACAGCAACTTTAATTCGTGGAAGTGGTCAAATAAAGAGGATGTAATATGGTATGATCATACTGATATTGTGGAGAAGATCAACCAACCAGCAAGCTTAAATAATCGTGGAATGTACAGAGTTCCAGAAATAAAAACGTTTTTCTGTTTTAATTAGATATTTGAATAAACAAGTTATTTTTTTTTTTTTTTTGTTTAAATACCCTTTTTGATATGTCAGGTATTGGGTATTTTTTTTGGATTCTGCAAAATTTGCAATGCCAGGTATTGGGGACAAAAAATGTATTTAGAAATATTTTATTTTGCAAGTTTTATTTAAATCAGATCTCCTTTCACATGTGCAATTAGTAATAAATTTAATCATACATTTTGTTAAGAGAACAAAAAAATCTGAGTAAAATTAACGTTTTTACATCAGAAAATGTATCTTTCTAGCCTTAGAGTGTCAGGTATTGGTGCCTCTAACTTATGCAAACAATAGTAATACAAATGTATTAGATAATCAAGAAAATATATATATTATTACTATAATATGCATAAAAAATAAAGATTGAAGTATGCTTAACAAATCATTTTTATTTGATGAGTTTTCTAATTTCGTTATTTAATTATACGCCCGCATCTGCAGAGAGCTCTACAATCAGAGTAAATTATATTGATTAATATTATAGTTATTTTATTATAGGCCTGTATAAGATCTTTATGTAAAGAATATTGACAGTCTCTTAAAGAATATATTATGCCGGTCTCTATTCAGTCATGTTCAGATATTGGACGTATTGTACACTTTATAATGAAGTTAATCGTTTAAAGTACGTAACATTTTCAATAGTTCATGTTCCACTGTATCAGTGGAATTTCCATTCGGAGCTTCAGTAGGGTCGGTTAGTTCTTCTTACACTTTTACTTTTATTGTGTTGTTTTGGTAAATATTTTCGATTGTTTTGATTATTCCTAGAGGTATCTCTTTTTCGTACAATAAATGGATAACATCCTTTAATTTGAATCAAAATGTAAACTGTAATAATTTTGTCCGGTATGAGGTTTTTTTTTAGGTTAATTGGCTCATTGTGAGGGAAAAAGTCCTGATTAACCTTTCTCTAAAATTCATCATTTTTGAGTTTTAAACAAATTCAGATTCGAAAAAAGCGCGAAAATTACCATTTTTAAAGCTTAAAACCTCGGTGAAAAATTAATATTTTTTCATTTAGTAAACATCAAATTAATCCTAAGACTCCATTTCACAAAATCCTGAAGAGTTTTTATCCATAACTTTATTGTAACCCATTGCTTTTTAATTGCTGATTTCTCTCTACGCCGAGTTCCGCGCTGACTTTTTTCTTATTGTTATTTCCTTTTTGAGTGCAATAGATCCCAAAGAAAAAAACGCTACTACAGCTAATGGAAGGAGCATTTGGGACAAATATGAATCTTGTTAATTTAGTAACGATGATGATATAATTGATCCAGATTTATCGTTAGTACTGGAAGTAGTAATGAAAATGAAATGGTAAATGATCATTGAGTTGAGGTATCTGATTTGATTCATAAAGATGACTCCAAATGGAAAGATGTCACCGATGGGATGACAGAGTTTGATTTTGATGGTGGTAAAATTGAACTTGAAAATACAAAATAATTATCAAAATAAACCTTTTTTCAACTAAAATTGTAGTTGTAAAAGTAAAATTGGCCAGTAAAAAGAATATTGCACACTATGTTGCAAAGATAGTGAGGTTTTAGATGACGAATACCTAGTCAAATATTTAAAAACAGTTATTGGAAACAATAAATTTGTCTATTCAGCTGAGGAAGTCTCTTGTGTCTCCGAAACGACATAATAAAAAAACTGCCTTAACCAGATTTTGGTTGGAACATCACAAACAAAATATGATGTTCTTTAATGTTAAATTTGATACATACAATGTAAAGTAATCATGTTTGTCGTCTTATAATTCATGTAATAAATAAGGTTCCGTTCGTTTGTGTTATTTCTTCTTAATCGAAAGTAGGTAATTTGTTCTCTGACCACAGGTACAACATAATGTGATCAAAGGTACAGTGTCGTACCTTTGGATGACCTGTCAAAAAAATTTCAATTTTTATTTTAAAAGATAACTGAAACGAATCTATAGACCTATACTTTGTCTTACTTTACTTTACTTTTTCTAGTCTGGATCCGACTACAGTTTTTCTGCCCAATATCAGGCTACGCCTACAGCCTTTGTATTTGCGAGCCATAAATCATCGAAGGTGCACTGTGATGGGCAAAGTCTGCATACTCTCAGGTGCTCCACGTTCTGTATTTCCCCACATTCACAGAGTGCCTCGCTATCTGTCTTGATGCCCCATTTAATGAGGTTCTGTTTTACAGGGGCAACACCTGTGCGCATGCGGTTGAGTGTCCGCCAGGTTCATTCCATTAGGTCGTTCTGGATGTAGGGGGAACACTTCGGGTGGTTCGACGCTGACATTTCTCATAAACCTTTTCCTTGATTTAAGTCGGCTGATTCCTGCCGGTTCGTCAATCCCGTATAATTGGTTCCGTTCACCGTTTATACTTTGTCATTTATAGATAAAGGTTGTATTTACTGCTTTATGCTTTAATGGTCGCTATAAAGCAATTTTTACATATTTTGAGCCAAACGATATCAAATTTGCCCAACGGTACAACACTCTTCCCTACGTCGGTATATTTATGTGTTTTTTATTGAGCAGTATATGCCGCTGTTGTCCGTACAAATAACCATATGCATTTTTAAAAGTCAATATTTTTCAGTCACGTCAGTGTACGCATTAACAATTCATCAAAACCTTATTGGTAGTATCCGACCATTATCAGTGAATCTTCATCAAAACATGCGTGCCTAACTCACTGAAAATGGTCTGATATGTTTTTGATGAATTTTTAATACATTTATCGGATATTTTTTAACCTTCCAACTATCTTAGAAGATACCCTCTTACAAAAGTTTTTATGCTACTTTTTTATTTAATATTATGGTATATAGCCAATTACTGTCAATTTTTTCTTAGATATATTCATAAATAAATAAAGATTATTAATTGTTTAAACAGGAAACTTTTAGTAAATACCTATTGTTGAAAAAATTGAAATTGTCGACAACTTTAAGAAACTTCCAAATCATGTTTTAAAATTTAATCCGCCATAAAAGAAGAGGTCCGCTAACTTCTGAACTGTGACAAAGTATTCCATTGACAAAATTTCCTTTTTTGAATCTTATTAGACGGGCCTATAAGTTTATTAATTTCAACAACCAGAAGCACTTCAATGCACCTACATAATATCTTTCCACTATCCATTGAATTCCTAATGAAACTGGTTTGAATTCTTACATAATTTAATAGTAGCCAGCTTCATTTAGTATCCATTTTATGACGATGGTTTATCCCACTTTTGTGTTGTTTCCGGATATCTTAGTTGTATACTTTTCTTATTATATAATTATTTAGTTATGGTGCGTTACGGTCTCTAGTCACATTGGACCAACGAATAATTCGCTTATCTTCCTTGCGCTAAAGAAACGGGAAGTATTACAGAACGATTATTTTATTTTATGGTTTCCCATTAAAACTAAAAATTCCAAATAAAATAATTATCAGTTACTTTTGATACCTCTTAACAAATCTTTACGTAACAAAAGAAATAATAATAATAATAGTACTAGTGGTCCCTATAAATTATCTAAAGTAAAAATACATTATACTGTTATACATGTGGTATTGCTAATTCCAATCGAATTTTGAAGGTAAGGAAATCCTCCTCAATCTTTTCTCATTCGTAAGGATGTAGTGGCGTCATGTAATTTGTTTAACTATTTCTGTTAAATTATCTCTCTCTTGTGCGTGTTGTTTTGCTTCGGAATGAGTAACCAGTCATCTCCTTTATTTGGTCCGACCATCGTACTGGAGATATTCTTTTGGATCTTTTACCCGCTACGTTACCTTCGACTATCATTCGCTCCAAGCCTTCTCTTTTTCTAGTTATATGTCCAAAATATCTTAGTATATTTTAGTTGATTGTTGTAATGAGTCTAGTTTTTATGTTAAGTCCTGTAGAATTGAGTTATTTGTGCGATGGGCGGTCCATGGTATGCGCAACTTTCTACGGTACAGAAACTTATCCAAGTTTCTGAAGAACAGATGGCAATAGGAAATATCAATGCTCTAACAAGGCGTAATTTTGTGTTTTTTGTGATGTCATTGTCCTTCCAAATTTTTGTGAGTTTTGCTGTTGCCGATCTGCCCATTGTGATGGTCGACGGATCTCATCTTCCATTCTCCACTGTTCGTAATATCGGAGCCTAAGTAATGAAATTGCCTAACCACTTCGTAATC